AGAATAAACTGCCATCGGTAATAGAAAGTAATATTTTAGTAAAATATGTGAAATGATTTTATTGTGGGCCACTGACGCAAAAGGTTAAAGGAGCGTATAAATTAAATTACAAAAATAATTTACTAAAGCAAATATTTAGATTACAAAATATTAAAATCAGATATTTGCTTTTTTAAATTTATTATGAAAAATGTATGTAATAATGAGTGTTGAACAAAAAGTATCTTATAACGAAAAATTAAAAAAAAAAATTTACAATTGTCTTAAATCAAAGTTTTAGAATACATTTTTTTTTTTTTTTTTTTTTTTTTTTTTTTTTTGTTATTGTTGTTAGAAATTTCATTGTCAACATATAGCTTTACATAAATTAAACCATATGATTTTTAATAAAAAATGGTAAAATATTTATTATATTACATAAATAACAATAATTGTAAAGCTTCAAGTATTTCGTATTAAAATTTTTATTAAAAGTAAATCAATCGGTGAAAATAAATGCATGAAACGTTAGATATTTCAATTAACGAATTATTCAACACTATAGATGTATAATAATAAATGGACTTGTGTAGACTATGTTGCTTCTTCTGTTTGTATGCGTATGTATATGTATATATATATATTTATGTATTCGTTTACATGTGTGTGTATGTGAATGGGGGGGGGGGAGAGAGAGATCATTAGTTAGCCATGCAGATATAAAGTAGTGTTACATAATAAAAAATTTTTTTTTTTTAGTAATATACTTTTTCGACAATAAATGTAAAACACTTTTTGTGAAATACATTATTTTATTTTAAGGCATTATTATCACGATAATAATACCTATTGATTATTTTGACAGTTTTATAACTTATAATTTAATAGTATGTTTCATAAATTCATAATTAAGTCTTCTAAGTATTTGATTTTCTGTTAATTTAAACAACATAAGTTGGACTTTATATTAATACGTGCGAATACGTTATATTAAAAATAAGTCGAATGCAGTAATTTTTTCAATCGATTTTTCCTCAATATTAATAATATTGTTGCTAATTGTCTTGACATTACGTACAATACGTAATGATTAGAAAGCAACTTGAGGTCACTCTTCAAAAAAAAAAAAAAAAAAAAAAAAAAAAAAAAAAAAAACACGCGAAATAAACTATATCACCGACGTAGGGTAATTTTCGCTCAATTAATATAATTAAGTAGAGTATTTTATGTAGGAGAACCTTTGATAATTTTGCTCGTACTAACTGCTCGCTAGCCTAAAAGAAACAGACATACGCAAACGGGAAAGAAAAGAAAATAACAAGTATTGTTTTATGTTCGGGCTCCGTTGCTCAGGACGATGCACAAACACCGGACTATCAGGACCCCGCGGCTCCCGCGATTTCCTCGCTTTCCCCAGACCGCACCTACGCATTTTCCCGTTCATTCTCAGAGCCCGAGAATCCAAGAGAGAGAGAGAGAGAGAGGGAGAGAGAGAGAGAGAGAGAGAGAGAGAGATAGAGAATGTCGAACACGTATGATGGCGCGCGTCCCGTCGCGATAAGTATCGGACCGCAGCCGATCGGATCGGCGTGAGCTTTTGAGTCCTGGCGATCGCCGCCCGGGATAACGAGCCGTGGCGCGCCCCAATGCTAATTCGGATTTAATCGCCGAAACGGGTCCCCGAGCACTCGGCAATGTGCCTGACCCTCGGAGCTGCCAAGCCGGCAAGAGTTCGTGACTTCGTTAGAGCTCGGAGATGGGACGGGGGTGTACGTAACGACAATGGTGGAATGTGGGTCAGGTCGAACGAAATCCCGAGCGTTGGAAATTTAGATGAAGCTTTGTCTCTTTTAGTGGCCATTTTTACATCGTCCACATTCATTATTCAAGCCAAGACATTTTTCGTATTCGCGTTTTGACTCGTTTCTGCTGCTGCTGTTGCTGCTGCTGCTGCTGCTGCTGCTGCTGCTGCTGATGCTGATGCTGCACGTTGTTGGAGATTATGCGACTGTGCATAAGTATTGCGCCCTGTTGCTTTTCACGAAAACGACGAAGGCGTGGAATTGCCGACGACGATAAGAACATTCGGAGATTAATACGAGATTCAATACGTTCACTGTAATTTCCTAAATTTCAATCTTATTTACTATCACGAGCTACTTACTTTATATTACATATATACTAAGCTAATAGCGCTAATCGTTAAAGGCTCAATGTCTATTCCATACGATATTACGAGACTATCGAGAGAAGATTGCTCGAAACATTATGGAAACGTTTAATCGCATAATATGCTACGGGCGAGTATAATTCTTTGTGTCCGTCTTATTTTAGAAAGAAATGTTGTTAAAACTGCAAGATCAAATGGATTTTGTATAAGGAGAAAGTAAAATCGTCTGTCTGTGTGGTGATCCTCGGCAATGCGTAATAGCAAAGAATTTTATCACTTTGTTACTCGCTACTCCCCGGAATTATATGGACAATCCTAGGAAAGACAAAGTATTTTCATAAAATTACCACAGGTATCGAATGAGTTTTCAAAAAAAAAAAAAAATAATAAAATAAAATAAAATAAATAAATAACTTCACCGAGACACCTCGTTTCATTACATATATATTATTAATAATGCATTGTTTGATACGGATCCGCCAAGAAGAAGTCATATATTTCGCGATCCCGTGTAATATGCAAATATCCCTTTATTCCCTCGATGTAGGGTAAACGACACCACTCGATTTTAATTTATCACGCCTCTGGCGATTTGTCTTCATCTCATGGCGACTGACACTAAACCATACGTCCACCACCACCACTACCACCAACCACCACCACCACCACCACCACCCCCCCCTCCACCCCCGTCCCACATCTCGCTCACTCTGTCTCTTTCTCTACCTCTACCTCAACACCGCCCAACATCGTCCCCAAAATAAAAGAAAGAAAAAGACAATCCGAAAGATGCCATATTGTTAAGAGGGCAATATACCTCCCACCCACGACACGCATACACAGATCCCGACGTATGGCACGTCAATGGGTATTTGTCTTGACCTGGTTTCACGCACCCGGGCATCGTCTCGTTTTTATTTTCGGCTTTGACCCCGAGCCCGCTACCGCCCCTCCCGCCACCGCCGCAACGCCAATATCGTCATTAATCTCCGGATGTCTCGCGACTCGGGCGGGGACATCACTGTACCATCGGCCCTCGGATGCCAAAGCTCGCTCGAGGGGCACCCAAAAGTGGAGGGAGCGGAGCGATTTAACCGAGGGAAAATGATCGTTAACGGCGAGGATAACGGCGAATTTCCATGCCCGATCGGTTAATTTCGCCAGCTTTCACGAGCCAAACAAACGTACGGCCAAAGCGTGTTGGCGCGGCCGGGCTCGATCGTGCCTGCTCCGCGTCCCGAGCGGGCAGCAAAAGAATTTAACCGTGACCTTTGGGGTTCACGAACCTTAACCCGCCGCGAGACTAATTGGCAGGAGAGAAAAGCCAAGGGCCGCTCGAGCCCGCGCGAGATTTAATACAGAGCTCCTTACCGCTTGTAAGCCTCGCGTCAAAGAGTACGTACGTAATGCCCGTGGCGGGAGGCTCGACGAGAGTGGCGAAGGGGAGGTTGGGGGGAGGGCAGGAGGGTAAAAAGAGATGCGGCGTTGACGGGACACTCGATTGCGACAGCCTGTGTCTGTAAGCCGGGCCGGCCCGGTTCGCTCGTTCCTCGTGATCGCCCCTTCCCCTCGACCTTTTCCCGATAAACGACTTTCCTTTGTCCATCGCGTTAATGGTTATTAATAGGTGCGGTGCGCGCTCGTACGAAAATTCCTGGCTCGAACGACGTTGTTCGCGTTGCCTTCCATGATTTCTTTCGTTACGGACGATGTCTACCCGAACTTATTCGCCGATCCGGCCGTCGCGTCTTTTTCGTCGATAATTGTATCGCGCTTTTATCGATCGAGCCATAAGGCTCCAATCATTTAAGTGATTAATCGCGAGATTAATGACAATGCGCGGAATGAGGAGTAGCGCAACGCTTAGCGTTTCAATTATAAATCAATGCCGACGCGACAAACGTAATCCAAACAAGAAGAAACGAGGGGACGAGTGGTGGCGAAGAGTGGACGTAAATTTAAATAAATACTGTACGCTCTAACGTGCGCTGGTTCTCCAGGTTTCTAAACTTTACTCGTCCGCTATCCTCCTTTGGCCTTAATATTTTCAACGACTAAGCGATAAAACGCGTGTTTAACCGGCATTCGAGCGCACTGTCGCAGAGCACCGACGAGCGCTTTAATAAATAATAAAAAGTCGAAGAGTAACCGATCTTGGGCACCTTGCGCGCTATTTTCGTTAGTTAGACAGATGCACGCAGGGGGGCAGCATAATGCAGGCGGACGAAATGCGCATTTAACTTGAGAAATAAATGTGTGTTGAAATTGTTGAAATAGGAAGCGAGAGGAATAGTGGTTTTTAATATATCTCTTTTTGTTGTTGTTGTTGTTGTTGTTATTGTTGTTGTTGTTATTCTTACTTTTTATCTTTATTTTATCTTTATTTTTTCTTCCTTAAAAATTATGATGATAACGACGACGGGGACGATGACTATGATAATGACAATAATGTGACGACGACGAGGATAATTGTTATTGATTTTTCTTTTTGGGAGGAAAAGTACATTGTTATTTAATACATGAAATTCGTGTAAATAAGCGCCTTGACATGCTAATTCGGGATTTCGTCATATTGTGCACGTAATTGTTGTTTGCTGGCACTAATAGCATCTTCGATTACATAATTATGCGTGGCCAATTAAAATTTTGTTACCGATGTAACAGCTTCTCACTTCTTATACAAACTAGTGGTGGCGAGCTAAAAGTAAAGATTCAACTCTTATCACATTGACAATATACTTCTAGATTGCACTTATACATTAAACAATACTGTTGATTATTATTATTTTTGTTTTTGTTTTGGCGAGCATTGCGCTTTGGAACAGTCTTTTTTACCGTCCCTCTTCCCCCATCCCCTCATTAGACTCATTTCTCTTTCGACATAATATTAATCAGCAAAATCTCGTTCAATGATGGCTTTGATATTTTCTCCTCGCTTGGCATTTTCATCGAGCCGGGCATGGAGATCGTCACGTTCCTGTTATTGTACGAGCTAGATGTCTGAAAATCTGAAATGAATAATCACACCATCGATCATTAAAGACTCTAAGCAACGCTTTTAACGAAATTGTTTTATTCTGAATTTTGAATGCTGAATCATTGGTCACTCGTACGAGCCTTTGAATAAATTAGACACGAATTTAATATTCGATCGATTTCATCGTATTTAATCATACATTATTGGCATGTTGTTCTATCGCTTTTTATCAATGTTTTTCTCCATCTCTTCTTCTCTTTTCCCTCTAATTATTCTCGTTTATTTTTCAGGAGAATATATTAAACGAGATTTATTGCTAATTGTAGCTATGATGAGACGAAAATACAAATTTAATCGTTCGCATGGAAATAATTAATTTTCGATAGATGTGTGATCATGAAGTTATTCCAATGCAACAATGCTTTATTAAGGAACATCTTCTGAATAATTTGCCAAAGTCCTTTAATTAAACATTAAATATCATTGATAATATTATCAGTAATAAAACGCAATTGCACTCTTCGTATGATTAAACTATAATGTCGAATAGCCGTTGGCATGATTTACGAATGTGTACGTTCAACCCCGTGAGAGAGCGATAGCGATATCGTTGGGAGGAAAAAAAGGGTGAAAGTAGATTTAAGTTGGTTTATAAGTAATATATCATACCGCTTCTCGATTGCTTTCTCGAAGTTATACTGCGCACTCTCTCGAGCCATCCTTCGGCGAGTCTTTCACGAAATTTGGGTGTGGTGAACGTATACAGCAAAGGATTAACGGCACTGTTTACCGGGAGAATGAATATAACCACCCAGGCATGCAAATCAGCTGAAAAAGGAAAAACATCGTTTTCGACTATGTAAGGACTTAACTTCTACGACTATAAGACAGACACGCGTGCGCGAGCTTACGTACGTGTCTATGTCGTTAAAAGGCAGGAGTCGAGGAATCTTGCGCGACAATCGTTCTGCTGGACAATTTGAATTTAACGCTAAATTTACTCGAGCGACTGGTTCTTAAACTACTTTTTAAACGACACCCGTAATATCAATTAATAAATACCGCGACCGACTGTGACAAATGAATCAGGACTAAAGCAGCCGGGACATTGAAAGCCAGACAATTAAATCTCCACCCACTGTAGATTGTACAATTTGCGCGTAACGAGCTTCGAGAATCTTCCTCCCTGTCGCCGTTAATGAAACGTTTCACAATCGCAGCATCGCGCAGGATTCCATCGAAAATTCCATTCGCATCCTCTGCCGATCTCCAGGATCTAGATAAGTCAGCGGTGGGATCAAGCAGAGTGAGTATCGATCGTGGCAGACTTACGGGCGACGGGGTACTCGGCGAGGGCCAGGATCTTGAGTACGATGATGGGTGCCCAGCAGACGGAGTCCGTGAGGACAATGAGGAAGAACCTGAGGGCGAACTCGGAGTCGACGACGGATAGTGGCGTGGCGTGTCGCGTTCTCCATATGCTCACGAACATGCCCGTGTATACGTAGCCGATCGTAACGAGCCTGCAAGCAGTCGTGGTGCATCGCTTTCCAACGGCACTTCGCCGAGGCTTATCGCGATTTTCGCGCGGCTACGGGAAACCTTCCGAGGTTCGCACTTGGTAATAATAATAATAACGTAGGATAAGCTGCCGATCAGCTCGTAAACAAACTCTCACGACCTTCCCCATGAAATATTTATGGATATTGGGATGCGAAGCTTACCCAAACGTGAAAATCCGACTCTTTCAGCTTTTATGGAAAAAGCTCTTTTGAAATTCTGCCTAATGTATGGGGTAATGTCGCGAGGCTCGAGGTGCAACGTCGATTATTTAAATATCAAGCGCATTAGTCCCGAAACGACGTATTAGACGATTTAATAATTTAACTATGCCACGATAATTGCCAAATAATAACAATAATAACAATAACAATAACAATAATGAATTTGCGACGAAGAGTTTTCATTATTATTATTATTATTATTATTATTATTATTATTATTATTATTATTATTATTATTATTATTATTATTATTATTGCCTATTAAAACATACGAATTTATTATGTTGATAAAATTGCTATTCGACGTAGAAAGTTAGCCGTGGCTTTAAAATTGATAAATATTTAAGAATTATAGAGGATCGAGCGACTCGCGCATACGCTATTTAAGATGAACATGCGTCGCTGGGGTGGGAGTCGGTTAAACTCAATTCTAATTCTCTATTTTTCTTATTTAAATATTATGATTCGCCAACGGCAGGATCATCGGGCACTGAGAATAGACAAAAATAAATAATTCAGCGATACGGTAAATCAAGTATGTTTTCAAATACGCTCACAAATCGCTCGAAAATATGCATTAACGGATAATCTAGAATAAGTAATAAGTACGTCAAAGTTTTTTTTTAATAATTATTCGCAAGTTGCTTGGGACAGGTAGTAGCGAAAGGAAAAAGAGGGAGAAGAAAATGATGGAAATTTATCGGCATGGAAGCTAATATGCTTAAACTATTTGGCACTTAGGGTGTAAGTGTACTATTTGTTAACTACTCGGTAATAAATCTTTCTTTTTGTTTTTAGTTGTTGTTGATTATTTGCTTTTCTTATCTCTTTAAGCGGACGACGAGTGAGATCATAAAGTGCATATTCGCGCGGCTCACACTGTCTCAGCGGGTCAATAAAATTTAACGAACCGGTGATCCACATTGGTCTAGGCATTAAAGTGGACATATTTGTTGTTCGCCTATCAAGATTTACCCAAGTAAGTTGACGCCGAGGAAGATGAAGGCCGAATATTCCCAACCGACGAGGAATGGATCGTCTATGTGCAGTGGAAAGCACATTCCATTCAGGCCGTAAAAGCGTGTGCTACTGCGCCAATGAATCGCTGCAATAATAAATATTTTTCACCCTGTATTAAAATTCATAATGATAGGCCTTAGCTTGGCGGAGGTACAGTAGTGATTTGCAGTGTGATTGCAGTGTGTTGTGAGTAGTGATTCGCAAAATGAAACGGAGCGTCAAAAAGTGGCGCTCTGATTGGCCGATAATAAATATGACAATTAAGGGCTTTATTAACTAATTATTATTCCAGGCCAATTATATAATGAAAGCCAATGACATTAAAAAGATAATAATAATTGATAAAAGTCCAGTGAGATTAGAATTAATTTAAATAAAATTCGATTTATTGTGCGACAGAGCGAGATAGTGAGATAGAGCGAGAGCGAGATAGTGAGATAGAGAGATAGATAGATAGATAGAGAGAGAGAGAGAGAGAGAGAGAGAGAGAGATTATGGTACATTAAAATAATGCCTCTCATCGATTTTTTATAGAGTTCGAGCGAGTAAATGAGGAATATCGATGCAGATCACTCGCTACGTCCTTTAATAATTCTCGTGAAATTAATGTCACAGTTACACATAACTAAACTTCAGATTGATATTCTGCACTACGTGTATCTCTGGAATTTCCCATTATATGCGACAGTGAACCACATCGATAGGCAACAAACGTCTTTTGTGGCACTTATCCGTTCCTTCGCTCCCCTCGCTCTCCTCAATCGTCGACTCACTGACTCGTTGCTGTGGTTAAGGACTCACCAGGTAAGAGGGCGAGAGTGATGCCGATGACCCAGACGACGATCATCGAATAGGCCGCGGTGTGCGAGGTTATGGCGCGGTGACCCTTTAACGGTGCCGCGATCAACATAAATCGTTCGACCGACATGAACGACAAGATCAGCACCGATACCTAAAGGTGCAACGGAGAGAAATCATTTCTGCGTGGGAGAAAGACTCTCGCTCCGTCCGTTCGTCATGTCCTTCATTTTTCGCGGCTTTCTTTGCAAATTCTTCTTTGCAAAACGCATTTGTTTTTCATGGCGTCGAATGGAAAAACTTGACTTTTTACACGAACGGGGGGCGAGTCTTAATAATAATAGACGATAGATTTAGAAAGTTTGGAATAATTATCTATTTAATTACGGGATTATAAATGTCAGTGATTTTTATTACTCGGGCGATTATTTAAAAATTAGTTCCGTAAGAGATGAAGATTTTCAATTGTCACTTATACGATTTTCGATAGACTCTACGCTGGTTTTATGTTTTTCATTCGTCTGATTGAATAAACAAAAAAACGAAGAAAAGGAAAAAAGAATTCATTCATTATTCGTCAAATGCTTAAGACGTTATAAATTATTAGGATATTTACAAATTTCACTAAACTAATTTCATTTAAAAATTGTATTTTTACTTTCTTCGGTTAACATTATTAAATTACTGCTCGATCGTTGTTTTTTTCTTTTTCAATGTAAGGAGCGAATAATTTTTTATATATTTATTGTTTAGATCGTTACGATATAATATTATTATTAAACGCACATTGAGTAAGTAAATTGAATGTTCTTTCAGCGTTTATTTATTGATATAATATGTAAAGTTATGTAAAAATGTTTTAATTATAGCAATTACAATTTCATGGTAATTTACGAATTTTATAGAATTTCTTATAGTGTTACAAAAAGCAACTCTAACTAGATAATGTCGGCAAGTGATTTTATGCTCTTAAAATGCTCATCGATTCAAAAGATAATGAACGTCGAAAGGCTTCTGAAATTAAACAATTAAATTACAAGGCAATCATGAATAAACATGAAATCATTCGTATTAATAAAACTAGACGCTATAACGTACGTTGGCGGATTAAAGACATTTTCATTCAGTTAAAATATTAATGAGAGCCTTAATATTTTACTTAGATACATGAAAATATTTACCTCGGAAGAGATCATAGCGAGCATACCGAGAAATGTACAAGACCACGATGATATCCATGCATTTGCTTCTTGATTATAGTTGTTTCGAAATCTTATATCTTCGAGGCCGATTATGAATAAATAAAGTCCCATTAATAGATCAGACACTAAAAATCATAATTATACGTGAATTTTATTATAAATTATGTTTTATTCCATCGGTTTCACTTATTAAATTTAAGCTTTCATTTGACAGTATTTATAAATGCAACTTCCTCAACTTAATAGTACAATGCTTATTTAGTTATTTATTGAATTAATCTTAAATTCGTAAAAGCTTGTCTAACGTAATTGTAATAATTGAATAATTGATTTCTGGTATTGAAATTTAACGAATGCATATTTTACATAAAAATTTCACATTAAAGAATAAAGAAAGTTGAAAATGTATATAAATTGGTATAAAAAGTTCTTTAATTCTTTCTTGATTCGGAAATTATCATGGTAATATTTTACATTTGCGATAAGTATTTCTTATTTCAGCCAAATATTATACAAAGAGATTTTAAGCAATAAAAAGCCCCGTCTTTTTTTCTTTTCTTTTTTTTTTTACATTTTACAATAAGAAAACTACGAAGATGAAAATTTCGTTGAAAGCCGTGAAACAACACATGGAAAATTTGCAAAAATACGTAATTAAGCGGGACCCTCTCCCCCCGCAGCCCAACGTAGAACGAATAACAATAATGGCCGTTTCACTTGATTCGAACTTAAGCAGAACATCATTCGCCAAAGCCACGTATGCGTGCACTTCCACACTTATGCACACACGCCCAAGTACGTAGATATGCATACATAATTAGGAGCAGTGGGAGACTTTCAATTATCATCCATCTTCCAGATTTCCGTAGGGACAGAACTCCCGTGAAAAAAGAAATGGCTGTGTAATTTGCATTCATCTCCCATACCCACCCACCCCCCACCCCTCCCGTCCCCTCCGACCGCCCACTGTTCTGTCCCACTGTACTGTCGCCCTCTCTAAAATGACTTTAAACTGCAATTTCGCAACTGCTAGCTCATAGTTACCCGCCAGATTGCGAATGATGATGCCCAGCACGCGATTCTCATCCTTAGCCGTGAGCCTCCCCCAGAGCACGAGGACGTTGCCCAAGCAAGTGACGCACGAGATGCTCCAGACGGCGATGCGCAGCAGCGGCTTCCCCAGCAGGTGCGATAGCGACGAGACACCTTACAATGCGAAGATAATTGATAATCTCGATTATTCCACCCATCAATCCAATCGCTTCCATTGCCTTTAAAATGCACGCGTATCGTATCGAAGTCTGACTTTTCAAAGTCCATCCTCACTCCGGGAATTAAATATGAAATTAAGGTTTAATAATAACAATAACAATAGTAATAGTAGTAATAGTAGTAAGTAGTAGTAGTAGTAGTAGTAGTGGTAGTGGTAGTGGTAGTGGTAAGTGGTAGTGGTAGTAGTAGTAGTAGTAGTAGTTGTTGTTGTTGTTGTTGTTGTTGTTTTAGTAGTGGTAGTGGTGGTATTGCGTCGTTTAAAAATGATTGATAAAAAAGGAGCGGGTGTGAGCGTTCCTTAATAATAAATTAGGTTGTGCAAATGTTATTTACCGTCCGTTGCTGGACTACACACTTTCACATTCGGTGCGTAGGTGGTACAATAATGGAATTTTTTGAAGTACCTGCAATACTCGTTTAATGTTGTTTTATACATAATTTATATTCAATTGGCAGTGCTGTTAACATGATTATATTTACACAAATTGAAGCTTCGTAAATATGTTAAACAGGTTTTTCTCGACACTGTCCATATCGATTCCTTCGACGCCTCTGTACAGATAATAAAGTATACGATCAATTCGACAAGCAGCGCAAAGAGAACAGAAAATTACGTTTCTGAAAGGATTATTACAGTGACTTAAGATTCGTCTTCAGTGAACTTAACGATGCAGCTGGCAGATTTTCGATTGGATTATATCCGAGTAATCTAAAAGAAAAATATAATTTTGATAATGAGTATATCGAAACTTATGAATAAACATGATTTTTTACTCATTGGCAATTCGATTAAACTCCTTCTTATCTTGGGGCTCTGTACTTTAGCAACGAATGATAATACGAAAAATGAGAAATAAGCCGTGAGCCATCGATCAATCATATCAAATTTAATAGAAAAAGGAATTTTTTTTTTTTATACCCGTAACTAGCAAAGTTTCTTAAACAATATTTATATGCAAATGCGTGCATTAGAATGAAATAAAGAAATTAATTAATTAAGCTCTGTATTAGTTTGCAAATAAGTTTGCAGCGTCACATCGTTTGATCGATAACTTGAAGCAAATAGATTATGAATTACCGTATTTACTTACAACATTAACGTAAAATCACTATGACAATGAAATATAATTGCGAAATAGCGACAACGTTAAAGTTTATAATATTCATACAAATAAGATATGATTGTAAGGAAAATTTAATTAATGCTACTTTAATCATAAATATACCTCATTATACATGTATATACTTAGTGAAATTTTGAAAGTGATTAGATGGAAATTCTTATAAATGAAAATTATATAAACGGAAAATCTACTTTGTATTTAAGGATGGAGAGAATAATAAATTCGAAGAAAATATATTAGAAAAAATTTATTCGAATTGAAGTATCCTTATTGCTCCATCCAAGCAAATAAGACATAAATATACAATTTTCCCCATAAATTTTACATTTCTATAAAGGATTTTGATGCGTAATGCCTTGTGTGTTAATAGTTATTCGTCGAATAAATTTAAAATATGATGAATGCCATACGCGTATAATTCAGCTGTGAAAAACGTATATTTGCATGCGTGAAAATGAATAAAATATTTTCAATATAAATAGCTATTTATTGAGACTGACCTCTACGAGCATCGACAAAATCTTTGAAATTATAATTCGAGCGATTTTTAAAATATTTTCGATCTATTGATCATGTATTTATATCTCGCCGAAAATATCAATTGTTATTTTCAGTTTTAGTCACAGCAATAAATACTTTGAATTGCGCAACACTTAGCCATTAAAGAACTAAAAGCAGATCATAAAATTACGTATAACGAAAGTATATGCTCCAGCAATTGACCTTATTATCTCGTCAATGTACGACAAGTTCACGTGTATTGCATTATTTCATTTAGTAAAAGAGAGATTATGATTTATTCCGTATATATAATTTGCCGGTCTTATGATTAATAATTAATATCGATAGATTATCGCGGCAAATTGTCAAGACAACAAATCGGATAATTTATCGTAGGAAATTTCATTGAGTTTCTTGCAATGATAATCGACGATTCGTAGAAATATTCGCGTCAAGTTTCTATATATAATTTTTTATCACATTTGTACAATTCTTTGGACTATATTTTACGATAATTTTACCATTATAAAATACGATAAAATGATACGGCGAAGGACATGTTAAATAGATGTGCACATATATTTATATACATGGAAAGAATTGAATCCAATTAATTTCACATAATTTAAAGGATAAAACAGTATGTTTAGTCAAAAATAATGATGGATGTAAGGGGTTGACTTAGTTATAGGGACATTTTATTTAAATAATAAAATAAACTGCCACAGTCGAACCTCTGTACAATGAATATATATATATATATATATATATATATATATATATATATATATATACAATACAATAAAAATGGATATAGGCAGCCTAGTTCTGAGACTTGGATCAACGAAGAAAGCTCGTCAAATGCGAAATAATGCGCATAAATCGTTTTTAAGCTTTAAGCGAGTTATTCGCTAAAAGGTTGCTTGACTATTGCAAGCACGTAGTGAAATTACGTACTTACTCCTTTACCATTTGTACACGCTATGTGCAATGCTCGGTAACTGGAAAGGCAAAAAGACGATTTTTTTTTTTTACCGCCCGCCAATACCATTCAATAACGATATTTTATTGCAAAAACACGTCAGATTACATGATAACAAAATCGTACACTTTACTATGCAGAAATTGTAGTTTATTTATTTATTTTTTTTTTTCAATAGTTTTCAATAGTTTTGCAAAAATGAATTGGCAAATTCGAAGGAAATATGACAATACGAATAATTCTGATATCTAATGCAGTCTTACATGCTATTATTTTCTAAGTATTATACATTTTTATGATTATTTAAATTAACACTATATATATACATATATATATATATATATATATATATATATATATATATATATATATATATATACATATATTTATATGTGAAATATAATTATTTACAACATTATATTCAAGAATCATGAACCTCTAAAATGAAATCACTTTGAAATAAAATCTTATTATATATAAATAGATTATACGAGATTCCAACTCAGCTTAATAACAATTTCAATGACATTTACTAAAGTCTCGCAAGGAATACTTTATTTACGTTACAAATATATACATATAGATATATAGATAGAGAGTGGGTAGAAATAAAGAGCGAAAGAGAGAGAGAGAGAGAGAGAGAGAGAGAGAGAGAGAGAGATGGGGAGAGATAGTAAGGTATTTGTGCATGTCGATGATTAAAGCGCTTAGATAAACAAACGTATCAGGATGCTCGCGATTGCCACTATATATTTCCGCAAGGATTCTTAGTGACACGAGCTCAGCAGGACAACGAGGCTCAACTCTCGAGTCTCGCTACACAACATTACTTTTGTTCCGGATGAGCGAACGAGAGAAACGACGAGCGCAGGCAGAACTTTTTATGAATGTCACCGCCAACGCCGATTAATTCGTATTTCAGAATTTAATCGCAAGTTAAAAAAAATTTAAGCGCATAAACATTTACAGCCTACAATCAAACTTATGCTATTTGACTTTTAATTACATGTATATAGTTTGAAGAAAAATGAAGAAATGAACGAGGCGTAAAAACAAAAAAAAAACAAAACAAAAACAACAACAAAAAAACAGAAGAATTGTGTCATAGGGGAATATTTTAGTTAAAGTTAATGTTCGAAATTATTATGAATATTTTTATCAAATTAATAATCAGATTAAAAAATTAAGATAAATTTAAAAGAAGAGTTAAGTTAGACTTACAATACGGAAAGGTTTCCAATAGGATTGAAAAGTTTACTCGGTATTGTCGTAATTCTGTTGTACATCAAGTTTCTGGAAATATAAATCATATTTTTAAATAATCCATATAATTATAGCTCTTCATTACGTAAAAAAATATTAACGATATTTACAAATCTTTCAACTGATTTAAATTTCTAAATGCATGTTGGGAGATAGTCGCAATCAAATTTGATTCCAATGTTCTACAAAGAAAAATTAATTTTACTTTACTCTCTAAGAAATGTCATTATTTCTATTAAAGAATTGTAAACTTACAATGACGATAACAAAGGTAACCGAAAAAACATATCATCGGAAATAAACTCCAAATGATTTTCGTCTAAAATCCTAAAATACGTTAATTAAAATCTATCAATAATATTATACTGAAAAATGATTAATATTCTTACAATTCTCGTAATCCGGGTAAATATGGCAAGCAAATATTTAAAGAGGTTAGATGATTCCTTCCCAAATCTCTGAACAAATAAGCTTCTTATTATAATAATAAAAATAATAATAATAATAATAATAATAATAAATGAATGAATGAATTAACATACAAATAAGTAAATAAATATATGCTATATATAGGTGGGGATGTGTATGTATGTGTGTATGCGTGCCTGTTTCTTGTGTGAGTGGTTGTGGGTATGGGTAAGTGCGTGAATCTGTGCTGTTATTTATTATTATAGTTAATTTAAACATATTTATTCATTTTCACTTACAATAATTCTAAAGTAGTGCTATTTTCAAGATCCTGTAAGTTCAATGTATGTATCCTATTATTGTCTGCTGAAAGAGTTTCCAAAGATGTCAAACCAACGAGATGGCCTTTTGAAATTTCTTGTATTTTATTGTTAGATAAAATTCTAAAATATTTAAATGTAAAACAATTAGACAAAGAAAAATACGTCTAGCCATATATTGACTTGTACTACTGAAACCACCTACAGCCAATTTAAATTTTGTTGTTTTCCAAATAAATTGTATTCTAAATATTGTATTCCATTACTTTTAAGAAACCTGAAATTAATATTATAATGGTATATTAATTTATTGATAATTTATTAATAATGTTATTTCAATATAATTCACTGATTATTCATACTGTTATCGTCAAATTTATTTGATAACATTATACTTAGTATTTCTAATCTCTGTAATGTGGGGGAGGTGTTTTTGCGCGCGCGCGTGTATAAAAATATGTGTGTGTGTGTGTGTGTGTGTGTGTTTCATACTGAATTTTTTTATTGATAATTTTATAAAACTTTAACCAAATATTCTTATAATTCTTTATACATTTGTTTATACAAGAGACTATATATAATGGCGCAATTGAAATGCAGGATAATCGTAAATAGGAGTAATAAAATGTTAAAGTGAGTTTATATTTATTAATAAACTTACAATGAACGCAGCTTGGAGTATCGATGAAAATAATCCTTTCCCAAGACGATAAACGAACTATTTGAAAAAGTCCTAAACAAAAATGAAAATTAAAGTGCATTGCACTATTTACATTCGTGTCTAAAATGATTTTAACGTACATAGTCGTGAGACTTTCGGAAAAAGTTTGAGGAATTTCAGTTCCTTGAAAGTTTATACAGCGCACTGTGCAATTAACATAATCGCAATTATTGTAATATCCAGGATCATCTGCATGAACTAATTTAATAATATAACATATAATATGATCAATTTTTACATAATAATAATAATAATAATAATAATAATAATAATAATAATAATAATAATAATAATAATAATAATAATTATTATTATTATTATTATTATTATTATTATTATTATTATTATTATTATTATTATTATTATTATTATGTAAAAATTGATCATATTATATGTTATATTATTAAATTAGTACAACTTTCTTTATATTTTGACATCATTTTTTATCTAAGTACATTATAGTTCTACAATCGTGTAATAATATCGTTCCATTAGCAAGAAATTTTTCGATTAAAAAGTCATATATCAATAAACTGAATTTCGATGGTATTATTTTGTCTGATAAAATTCTTTATTAAGCCATTATTATTCTTGCTTTTATTATATTTTCAGTTATAATTGTTTATGAAATCTTTGAACTATGATTTTCCATATTTGTATAAGCAAACTTGTGAGATGAAAATGCAAGAATTTCACAAAAGTTACTTTTGAATCGTTTCAAAATTTTTCTAATACAATTTCAATAAATACATTAGAATAAATTTATTATATTTCCGAAGCGATAAAGTATACTTAATTTCGTATTATATAACCAAATAATTATTATATTTTTTAATTCAAGATTTGTCAAATAATTGTAAATTTCGAAATCCGTAATTTTTCATCTTTTCCTTATTCTAATCCAATAAATGCAAAAATATTATTTATACGAGCTAAGCTGTAGTAGAATAAATAAAGGAAAGAGAACAAAAAAAAAATAACTACTTACTTTTGCTAACGTGAGGACAGACTGTCATAGATGTATTATGATATCGTGATTTTCGATACCAATTCCAATCTCCGTTTGAATCAACTGCGATAAAATATAGTTAGAATGAAAGAAAGTTGGTAGGAAGGAGAAAAGTACGTGTTACAAACGAAATTCACGAACGTTAGCTATTTATCGTGTATAATATTTGAATTGTTATTTTGTTTAAAATGGTATATTACAAGATGTAGTGACGAATACAATAAGTTGAAATTCGTCTTTGAAATATCACAAGCCAAACACTTTACGTCGCGCGTTCGAATTTAATAATTTAATCTCAACGAGTAGAACTGTTATTTTTATAAAGCATCGAGCTCTTCTAGCATTATTCTTTCGTTTACTTTGTTGCTAAATGCTCCCAAAGTCCATTGCTCCCGTGGATTGGAAACTTATATTCTCATAATGAAAACAGGCATCGCTCTCAACTTATCGTACCATAACATTAAATTGCGCTCAAACTAATTCTCATATTTGCATGAAAAATGAAAGAAAGAATGAACGAAAGAAAAGAAAAAACAAAATCGAGCGCTCGTTTTTTTTTTTTTTTTTTTTTTTTTTTTTTTTTTTTTTACAAAACAAACATACAGTGCGCTCGGCTATGAAATCATTAAAGAAGCGTCGGTTAGAGTTTGGCTCCTTCGAATCAATATTTGCCTTTCAACGAATCGTTTGCCAATAATCGAGGTCTCTTACAGCATTCTATGGACTCGTCGTCGCCTCTGGGACAGTCGAGGATTCCGTTGCACCAACTGCGCTGTGGCATACATAAGCTGCTGTTTTGACAGAGGAATGTACCGATCGGACAGCTATCTGCAATCAAGACTTTCTTATGCTCGAGTTATCCTTGCAGGGTTTTATTTTTTTTTTTTTTTTTTTTTTTTTTTTTTTTTTTTTTTGTTTTTATTGGAATGGCAGTGTAGTGGAGAGAGTAGAGTCGATTGTAAGAGTATAAAACGGTTTGTTGAATTTATTTGGAATATTCGAGCAATTCGGGCTTAGGGTGATGTACAATTAATTAATATGTTTAATGGCATTTAAACGCTTGTTTGTTTAAAAAATTCGGACTTAAGTTACAAACTCACTTCGTAGTTTCGTACGTTGGCCACGAATGCCGCTCAATTTCCATACAAATATTATTTAACAAAATAACGAGAATAAATAATAGTGGTTGATAAATGTTTTGCCTGCCATGGGGAGCATTAGGTTTTTGTTGTGATAAAAGGTTTTCGAAACTCAGTCAATATAATGTTCTTGTTCTTGATTTAATAAACTTGTATGTAATGGGAGGTTTGTATGGCTAGGGAAAACCTTAAAACTTGTTATTTACTGATATAAACTTGATATTTCGAATAAGTGGATTAATAGAAATAACGATTATCTAGTTAAAAAATTAATACTTGTAAACTTGTAATGTTGAATGAATAAAATGCTAATTTATCCCCATGGGATTCTCTAATATAATAAAAAGTTGGTATTGTAAAGGAAAAGCTGTGGAAAATGGATCATTTAAGCGATAGATTTTCATGCAAAACTTTAAACAAATATTACACGTTCTGTATTATAATTATGATAAAAAAAATTAATGAAAGATAAATATTTGATTAAATTCAATTCAAACAATGTGTGTATATATATGTGTGCGTGCGTGCGTGCGTGCGTGTGTGTGTGTGTGCGTGCGTGCGTGTGTGTGTGTGTATCGACATTAGCATAAACAACAATCAATAAAACATAATTTTGTTACAGGACAATAGATGTTTTTAATCGATAATAACGACCATTGCGATTTTACAAGTAAAAGTGTGGCTTTTACAATTTTAATCTTGAATTTATCGACCAACCGTAATTTAGTTGCGATACAACTTATATAGTTCATTTACAAGGCAATTATTAATGTAATTATTAATACATTATTTTTATTTGATAAAAAACAAAAACAAGAACAAACAACAAAAAAAAAAAAAAAAGAAAGAAGAAAGAAAGATAATTTGTTTATTTTTATTTTAATTTATTACAATTATCTGAATTAATATTTAATCTCTCCATATTCTTTAAATTTATTTTCTAAAAATAGATACCATTAATTCTGCATTTAATTAATTAAATAATCTATTAACTAAGTTCGACGAACAGCCATACATTCATGTAAAATCAAGGATATGTTTATATATTTTTTGCTTTGTAAGTGAAATTGCTGGAATTAATTAATGATAAAGACAGATAGATTTATTCTAAAATTATAATCATGACGTATTATTAATAACATCGCGACACTTGTTTATTTGTCGCATTCGCAATCCGAAAGTTTACCGCTATATTACAATAATAGCATTCTCGGTTCATTATAATACTCGGTGTTATTAATAATTAATAATTAATTTATTAATAATTATAATAAAAAATGGGGAAAAAAAAAAAAAAAAAAAAAAAAAAAAACAAGAAAATTTTTTACAAATTTACATATATAATGCACTTGTGACTTGTGATGGGTTAATTAAATAAGCTTGCCCAATTAAAATCATTATTTCCTCGGTAAAATAGCTCGGAAAGTACAAGAGTTAGCTCGCGAATATCTCCCTGCTTATATCTATTATTTTTTAATTAAAAATTATATTTTTAATCATGACATCGTCGAATGGCATTGTTCAAATTTCAATAAAAAATTGTTCGCGTGACTGGTAAAATGCCGCAATGTAAGGGGAGTAAGGGCGACGATAATGATTATCGACGAAATTGCGATGTTTATGCTAATGACGACGTGTTTATTTACGCGATGGCGTCCCTTTTCTCCTTTGCACCTGCAAGAATTTTTTCGTTTTTTCGGGAAAGGGTAACGCAGAGGCCTCGGATTTTTATCGAAAAGTCATTTTAAATGAAATCAACGGCGATTACGACGTACATATCAATTCAATCAGCCGCGTCACGGCCCGATCATCCTCTTAAAGGGAATATGACTTCACGAAGTTAACTGATCGTGATTGCCATTGATTTCACTATAAATTTTGCGTTAGTTGAGCAACGAATATCCTCGTAGTTGAATATTTTGTTTAATTATTCTTAATGCTAAGATCTCGTTCTATGGAAGCCAGGGATGAATTTTTGCCAAAACCTTGGACTGTATTATCGGCGAAGAGCATTTGATAATCAGTAACATTGCGTTTGATGATGTCAGTTTGGAGAAACGTGTTTGGATAGTCCGATCTATTTTCGAATCATTACAAAACTATGATGCTATCGTTTGAATTCATAAATCCGATGGAATGATAATGAATGTAGTGGGTGCAACGAGTATATAGTTGGGAGTTTTTAAATTTTCAAAATCATTACGACATTACTCGAGATTTTCGGTTTGCTGATGTATGTATTTTCACGTAATCAACCCTATGGCATTTAAGCCTTTAATTTTCATCCCTCCCCCTCACTCCCCTCTCCCGTTATATATCAAAAATATTTATAGAATTTTTGTTGAATTAATAAGTAATAAAGCTGATTAGCTGATCAGCTGATTTATGATTTTAATTGCTTTAATTATTTTTCATAAAATATAACATATATAACTTGCATCTGCATTGACTATTATTATACGGTATTGCGTATAATTGTATTACATAGATCTTTTTTTATTTATTTCTTTATAATTTTTTATTATAATTATTAATGTCGATTAAGCGAAATATATTATAGCAACTTGTTCTTTTAATGATCAACAACGACCACACACACATATATATATATATATATATATATATATATATATATATATATATATATATATATATATATATATTTCTATTATATATATTCTATTATTATATATATATATATTACTAAGAATTTCTTTAAGAAAATTGATATTAAATGATTTCGAAAAATAATCGAAAATATAAATTCTTTTACAAATTACCGGCATTGTAATGCATCGCTTATCGCTCATTGGGCCAGAAGTAATGGAAATTATTATATATATAAAAATGCATTTAAAGAATAACAAATGAATTTTTTGATATATGTAAATTTCACGTGATTAAATATTCAAAGGCAATGATCATTTATAACGACGGTTTGTAATATAAAACTGTTATTTAAAATCTTAAAGAATATCATACAATATGGCTAAATAGTAGGAGGAATTAGCGTTATAATGATAAATTAAATGGCGTGCATAGGAATTTTGAGCAAGCGATTAATTATCCAGCAATGCTTTTTGTTTAAACAAATTTTTAAAATTTCCCAATAATGTAATTCGATTAAAATGTACAAAAAGATACGTTTAATTTAGATGGAAAAAGTGGTAAATACCTTTTTTAAACGTTGAGTTTACGTATGAAATAGACATTATTTACAGGCAATGTAATTTCTATTTGATTTCAACCGGTCCTACCATCAACATAAATCTATGCTACGTTAAAGCAAATTTCTTTAATTCTCAGAAGCTGTTACGGTTAAAAGATTTGTAAATATCTACTTACGTTCATAGGTGTTTCAAATTTTTTGGTTAACATTGAAATTTTAACGGGCAATAATTATAAGGAAAGTATAGGAGTAATTAAATGTTGATTGTAATATAATATATATATATATATATATATATATATATATATATATCGTAGAGTTTGAATTATTCATCAACTGGAACAATAATTTATGCATTATTTTACATATCATAAAATTGCTCTTTAACTGCTCGATAAAAGTTCATAAATCAATCAATAAGTTTTCTAATAATTGAATTGCAAGTTTATTTGAAAAATACATATAACTATTTTGACTTTAAATCATGAACGTAATGCCGAATTAGCACGTCGATGAGCTTCACTTGTACTTGAAAAGCAAGACAAGGCGTAAATTTAACATTGTAATTATAATTTTCTATCAATTTCTCAACGTCTATTACTTAATGAATTTTAGTAAAGTCTAATGCTTCGTAGCTCATAGTATATTATCACGCTATAAATTGATGGTAATTTACTAAACCGACATAAAATGGCTCGATTATTTTTTCTTTTTCATCCTAACGATTATTGATAGAATTCCAATGACAGTATAATCATTTTACAGCAGCCAAGTTCTTCGTCATCCAGCAGTACACCGATCAAACCGATGAAATGTGCATAATCCAAAGCCCCACGGGCGCTCTATGTGTGTGTGTGTGTGTCTGGGGGGAGGGGAGGGGAGGGAGAGGATGTATTTAATTTGTCCACGGTTATGTTGCCCACACGTGCACAACGCTATAAAGTTAATCGCTCCTTATGATATTTACTTGGCACTGCCACACGCGCCAGAACGAGTCTAACTCGCATTTTCAGATTGACTCGATATTACGCGCTCGCACTCCCAATTCATTTGCATATCAGCCATTCCCATCTCGATCCCCCCCCCCTCCCTCCTCCACTCCTCATCCTGCTGTAAGTTGCATTTTTTCTCCGTAAAGTAACGCAGAGGGACGTGCCGGGGTTAAGGTGAGGTGCAGTGTGCGTGTGTTTGAGGGGGAGAATTGAAAAAAGTCTCTTACCTTGATTAAAGTAGTACATGAGTGCGGCGAGGAGGACGAAGATGCCGATCAAGATCGCGCCGATCGTCCCGATGTGCTTGTACCTCATCCTGGTATTAACTCCGCTGGAGTCGCGTATGCATCGCGCGTAGGAGGCGGCACTTCGGCGTCGACTGCCGGGTTAGAGCGACACTGGTTGCATAGTCGACCCCTCCACCGATTGTGAGGCGCAGGCGCGCGAGCGAGTTCCGGCCCTTCTCCCGGGGTGCGATAGCGTAAAAAGCCGAGGGCTCGCGGGGAAGCGGGGAAGCGGGTCACGTTGAGATCTGTCGGGGTGCGACCACCCCATTATTACTTTAACGCTATTATTGTTAGTACGAGGTGTTTTATCAGCTGGGAGTGTTTTTTTGAATCTGGGTCAAGCTTCGGCGGGTAATAATGCCACCAAGGATGGACATTGGCGTGAATCTTCCAGGCGAGTGGAATCTTTATTATTGAACTAAGCTCAGATGAAATATTACAAGGGAGCTTTACTAAAGTACTAATTGCAATCAGTCACAATGTATACCAAATACTTGATATATTTATATATATATATATATATATATATATATATATCATATAGTATTTTATCTTATTTATATAATTTAAATTTCACGTTTACGAAATACTGTCTTTTAATAGTTTTTATTGTAATTTTTTAACACTGCGTAGAGGAAATTAGTAATTCCTGCATCGTCATTCGTTGATTCGATTAAATAAAAGACTCCAATAAGCCATCTTGATTGATTTTCAAGTTTCTTTGCTTTTATTATTGAATGAACGTTGAAAAACATATTATTAACATTCTTTGTCGAGTAAGGCGTTTATGTATTATGTGAAATTCAAATTACCTTCTTATATATTCTGTTACGGATAACTTCTTCTTAAGCTGACATTTTGACTGATTAGATGATAATATTTATCTTTTTGTAATGCATTAATATTTTCCCCGCTCTCTAACACAAATGCCCTTGTTTACCGTATATAATTGTAATTTAGGCAATACATTCTAATAAACATCTAAAAGTGGAAATATTTTTTATATTTTCAACTTAATTACATTAAAGAAACAAAAAAAAAATCATTAATTTACTCATATTAAGTTTAAGGAATTGTAAACACATTGCATTCGTAAATAAAATATAACTTCATAATAATATATAATTAACGTTATAATGTTAAGTGAAAAATTAGTTCAATGTATTTCGTATTCAAGAGATTTAATTTACTTTAAAATAAACATTCTAGTAGAAGCCAATGAAAAGTTTTCCCCTTAAATTTGATCTGACCAACCAATGATAAAATGTTTCCATCTGATTTTACGATGTCCTTCCTTAAGGTATGATAAAATGATAAAATTTTAATAATTTTGGGAATAAAACGTTGGATAATTATATGTTGTCCTGGAAAAATAATTTAATCTTTATCTCAAAATATCTAAATTTACGAAAAGTTTTTAAAATAACGATCATTATAATGATTTTTGTAACCAAGAATTAACAAGAAAAAAATTTTAAAAAGTCGATCGTTAATTCGAAATTGACGTTGAAAATACAATATCTTGTAATTGTCAGTTATAACATGGTCAATTTTCAAATCAACCTAATTTATACAATTTTTGCGATATTGAAAGCAATTGTATATGTAAGAGTCGATATACTTGAGATGTAATAAACATTGTATAAGCATTGACTTGTATGGCGATCGATGAAAGGGAAAATGTTAACATCTTTTACTCAAAAATGTTATATTCTAATATTGTAAATAACAAAATATTATTCTTTACGATTGTTACATCTTCAACTCTTTTATTTACTCTTTATATAAAAAAAAAAAAAACTCACATAAACAACAATTATAACAGTTTTCAGTGATTTCATATTGAATATCATTAACCTTTTCGTAACTTCATCTTTAATAATAATAATAATAATAATAATAATAATAATAATAATAATAAAAATAATAAAAATAATAATTTTATAGACTTTTTAAAACATTATATTACTTTATTTACTCTGTATGTGGAACAAAGCTATAAAATAAAATTGAAACTTTCTTTTGTTAGATAGTACAGAAATTTATAACAACTACTATTACTATCACAAATTAGCGTATAATCATTTTTTGTGATATAAATTAATAAATAAGCTTAAAAAGACAGTAAGGACAACATTATTTTGTGGCAATATTTTTTAATACAATATAATAGAAATAGCCAATGTACGGAATTTTTTTTTATAATTTTATGTTATAGGAAATGCAAACTACGTAATTGTGTTATTAATTTCAACTTTATTTAATCATATGGAAAGGATATTTTTGTTCTGAAATTTAAAGTTGCAATTTATGTAAGTTGAATGTACTTAAACATTATAACGTTATATTTTATATTTAAAGATTACTTATAATATTATGCTTAACCATTTTTTAAATATAACTTAAAAACAAATAAGACTGTTTAACAAGGAGTATTGGTAGTTAGGTAAGACACATAAAGCAATATCAATATTTTTCAGTAAAAATTAAAAATACGAAAGAATACGATAATTTCGTTCCTATACTTATTTCATTTACATATTTTTATGAAAAATCTATTATTGCCTTCAAAATTTACTTTAACCGCTGAGCATTAGAGAAAAAATTGAACACAGAACATTAAAAATAAAAATTCTAAATTCTCATATAAATAATCCAATTCTCTCATTAAAATTAAACTCTCGGAAGACATATCCTTAATCTTTACTGAAAGTATTCGATTTCAGGTTTTGAAGGTGGTAAAAGAAAATTTTATTTACGTTTATTGAAGATAGAGAGATACATTAGTGTACAGTCGATGCTGAGGATATACATGAAATATTCGTAAACGGCATGCACGCATCGTCGATAAAACAAACGAAGATGAAAAAGTGGAAATAAAGAAAAAAGAAAAACGCTCCTTTCCTCTATTCCATAATTATTCCTTTATTTAAAATAATATATATATATATATATATATATATATATATATATATATATATATAAAATTTGTTTTCAATTTTATATTCTCGTGCGGAGAAGCTCCGCTTTTTAAGGCTCATGATCCTTTGCTCATCTTTAAAAAAACATGTAAGGGCGGATAAGACAAAGATCGTCGACAGTAGAGCTTTGATCATGAAAAAGGGACTTACGATACATACGTACGCCCGTGTTTGTACTCATCCGCGCACGCACACAGCACACATGCATTATCAAACGTACAGCCACAACACACGAGACCGCGCGTCCCTCAGCCGCATTTATATTTTTTTTCTCTCTCTATATATGTGTGTGTGTGTGTGTGTATATATATATATATATATATATATATATATATATATAAATGTATAGGCGTACGTACATATACAGTGTAGGTTCGAGCGCTAGTGAAATGCAATCCTCGATACAACAAAAGCGCCTACATATCGGCACACGGGCACTTGAAGTCGCGGCTGTTCCTATAATAAGTTAATAACATCTAGATAAAAGCCCCCGCCACCCGCAGCTGAAATACATGCGCTAATAATGTATATATATATATATATATATATATATATATAGAGAGAGAGAAAGAGAGAGAGAGAGAGAGAGAGAGAGAGAGAGAGAGAGAGAGAGAGAGAGAGAGAGACGTTAACTATGGTAGACGATAAATCATCGGAAATAAATAAATTCCGATGGGTTGCGTGGAAGTAATAATGACAGGAATGAAATCCATATGGTTACACTGGATTATACCGAAGAATTAATTTTGAAAACCGTTTCATTCTGTCCCTGTTAATGTTATATGAACGAGTTATATGAACAACTCCGATTGTTGCTTTGTGTCAAAAAGAATTGTTGTAGGAGTTTGAAACAAAAATAAAATATGAAATACACAAACAAAGAAAAATATATGCATATATATTTTTTTTTGTGTGGGCGTGTGCGTGCGTGCGTGCGTGCGTGCGTGTATGAGTGATGGATGTGTGATTTCATCGGCAATATTTCTTTCGCCCCAACATTCACACGTTCACACAAATACATACAAAGTCTTTACTTTTATTCAATATTTTTCTCTCTCTCTCTCTCTCTTTCTATCTCTCTATCTCTCTCTCTCTCTCTCTCTATATATATATATATATATATATATATATATATATATCTTTTTCCGTTCCTGTTTCATACATTTTTTTACAAATTTATGCAGCAGATTTTTATTTCGTTAAAAATTACGTGATATAATTAAATTAATGAAATTACATTATAACAAATTAATTCCCAAACGTTTATATAAATAAATATATATATGCATATATACATATACGTTTACAAATACGTTTCGGGGATTGTTGTGCTGTCTCACTCATTCTTTCGCTCTCTCGTTCTCTCTTTCCGTATATCTTATACTTTTGAAAAAACGCATTAGAGTCTTTAATCTATGTGGTCTATGTTATCGATGGGAAATAAATATCCTTTATAAATTCTTATATACGAGATAACCCTTCTCCACAGGTAAATGTTTATATTTCGTTTTTCAAGGATCTGATTATTTCTATTTCGATCGGGTATCAACGACCTCGATATATTAAATCATTGTCTTAAATGATATTCATTTAATTAATTATTTTAATGAAAATTAAAAATAGATGTTTGGTGTACGTTCAAAATTATATCATATTTACAAGTAATAACAAAAACTTTTCAAAGAAATATAATGTTTTTCATATAATATATTAATACATACATTTTTCCAATCAAAGTTATATTCCTTTTAAAAAATTGTTCCCTCAATAACATATTTACTTCTCAAAATAAAAATAAGCAAAAAAAAAAAGATAAAGAAAAAGAATAATTTCAGATCTATGTTTATTATAAACCATAAAAAATATCAAATTCTATTTGAGAAATCATAAATATGCAAAGGCTACAATTTAACCAATTATTATATAAATTTTTAAATATTACCATATTACTTATTATTAAGAACATTTTTTCTTCAAAAGGATCGAATTTTTAATATAAAGCCCATACTTTACATAGCTGAATGTTTATTATTGTATATTTCATTCT